AAAAAAAAAATTGAGGTTCTCAGCTGATACTTAGCTGCATTAGCTCTGTTTATAATTGAAGGAAGCATGAGTTTGCACCAGCTGAGACACTTATCCAAACTATATTATATGGACAATTCCCTGAACTTTATTTGTAAGGAACAAAAAAATTCATATGTACAGAATATATTATTAGTTCTCTGTATGTGTGCATACCGATGCACAGGAAGTTTTAAACTTGAGTTTCTAAGTAGGTTATAAATATTATTGCTTTGTACAGGTGATTTGGAACCCAATTTGTATAGCACACAAGTAGCTTTTAATCATGTTTCATGTGCATTGTCTATGATTTTGTATCTGAGATTATTCATAGTTACTTTGTATTTTGGGATTTTTTTTGTCCTGAAGGTATTCTATGTTAATTTCTGGGATCTTTGGTCACAGGAGATTTTATCATTGATAAATAAACACTGTCATTAACAAAAGTCTATTTTATGTTGGTAGTTGTAACCTGGAATATAGATATTGTCATAGGCCATGCAACACTGAATTTCACAGTGCATTTTCTATATTTTACCTTTTACTAAGGTCATCTAGATTGAATAGTTGCTTTGGAATTAATTCTGTAACATCTTACTCTTCCATGTGCTTATCATTGTATTTGTTTAAAAAAAAAAGGTGTTTCATCCTCATATCAGAGGGTATCTGTCAGTTAATATACGTATTTCTGATATCCTTCCTAACCTCTTGAGTCATATGAATAATTCTTGTGTTGTGTGTGTAATACAACATGGCCTACTCCTGGGAACAGTTTATCCTTCCTGCCTGGACTTAAATTGCAGTCTGCAGCCTGACCTCTGTGAGATAGCCTTGAATTGATGGGCTTTTATAATACTATCACTTCCATGATAAGACAAAAAATGCATTATGCTTTTATCAAAAGAAGGAACAATAGGCTTTACTATAAGAAGTCTTGTTTTCAGTATCCATCAAGTGCTTGAGTACTTTGGTGCTTGCTATTTTTATGTCATTAATTTCATTGTTCAGTGAAAGAAACCTACTAATTATCCTTGAAGTTTAGGAACAGCATTTTCCACTCTTTGTTAGCCTCTTAAAGTCTTTGAAAATGTTGAATTTTCAGGTCATTTGGTGATTTTCAGTTGCTGTTTTCTTCTTAAAACTGTTATCAGTGGTTGTACAGTGATGTTTTTAACCACACCACCTCTGTGGAATATGACATTGTTTATATACACTTTTTGTTAGTGATGCCTTCATCAGCCTTGTCTATTTCTTTTAATCGTTGTTTATTTTTCATACTAAGAAGAAATTCTTTTTTTCCCTCTATGACATTATGTAGGATTTTACTGTTTTTGATTTTTTTTTTTTCTTTTCTTTCTTGTCGGTGCTGTTAATATGAACATGGTACTGCATAATGGCTGTGTTATAGTCATTTGATTTGTTGAAGCAATGGAAGTTATATGACAAAGACAGTAATTTAGTTCTTACAGCCAACCTGCTGATACTGTTATTACTTTGTAATCCCAATGAACAAATTTTTCAATTTTTATTTTATTGCAAGGATTGTCATATGGTTTCTCAACATAAAGCTGTTAATCCTGCAAAATCAAATGAGCTGATTTTGTCTCAAGTCACCTGGCTAGACCATGTGGTGTTATTACTGAGAAAATCTCCTTGTGGCATATCTGGCTGGTAGTGAGCTGAGATGTTAAACTTGCTAGAAGAGGAGAGTTCCAGGGACATGAAGTCCTGATGAAAGTGACTGTAGGACTTCAGGATGTGTTGTGGAAATATTCAAATTAATCCTTATTGTCCTGAAAGCCTTGTGGGAGGGGCACTATTAAAATGTTTCTAAGCTGATACTACCAATTTTCACTATCTTTGGGACTTATACTTGGAAATATATACAAAAATGCAAAGAATAGTTGCAGCAAGCTCATTTTAGAAGCATATGCAGTCATCTTCATCACTAATTAAGGAGCTTGGGTGGGTTTTAAATTGAGGTCTTCTTGGCAAAATGAAGAGCTGAAAAACACTTTTTGGAATTGTCATTAAAGTGTAAAGAAGATACAGGGTTTTTTTAGTTTTTATTTTACCACCTACTGTGTCTATATGAATTATGAATATAAGTTAGATATCAGAAAACTACCAATTCTGCTGTTTATCATTCTGTCTCTGAAGCGTACTCATAAACTGAGAGAGCTATCTGAATTAAGTCCCTGAGAGACCTCAGTCTTGAAATTGCTTTAAGGACAAGAATAATCACAAAGCTACTTACTCATTCTTTAATGGAATGAATAAATGGATACACTTTAAGAAAAATGAATCATTCTTGCTAGGTGTTGTGTATGAGTCAGCAGCAACAGATCAGCTGTAACAGAGGCTTCAGATAAATCCACTGCAATTAGTCTGTTTATCTGCCTCGTCAAGCAGCTTATTTTTTTAAATTTCCAAATTGTCTTCAGATATTTCTTTATGAAAGAAAGATGAAGAGTGGTGCCAAAACCTCTGTTAATTGTCTCACCGCTGAGAAATTTCCAGCCCCGCGGTATCAGATTAGCTAATACAGTTATTGCCTGAAGTATTCCTTTTCTCAGCTCCATTCCATTTGCGCTAGCCAAGTAGAACATTATGAAATGCACATTAAAAAAATGTGCAGATTACAGGCTCAGGTAAATATTAAAAATTGCTTTTTTTCATTTTTAAAGAGGGCATTTGAGTCTCTAGGAGGCTATGTTTATTATCCCGTAATGTTTAACATTCCATTGTCCCACTGAATTAAGAGTTACCTGTCACTTTACCTTGTACAAGATATAACTTGATACGCTTCTTCTAAAAAGAAAGAAGGAAATAAGGAAAATCCATAGTGCAAGTGTTCTTATTAAGAGTAAGTAATTTTGAATTCATAAGTGCTAAGGTAATTGTTTGGTCCAAATAACGTTACATGAAAACATAGAGGAAGGCCCTAGCAGTATAGGAGACTAAGTTACCTTGTCTGAGGAGTTACTGTCTTCTCTGGTATTACTTTCCTAGCTCTCTGAATGCACTGAAAATTGACTTTGATTCACACCATTACTTTAAAATAGTTATAGGAAATTATCAAAGCTGAAAGCCACTGTTTGTCATGATTAGTCTTCTTCCAGCAGATGAGTTAGGTCAGACTTCACAAATTATGACAAAAGACCTTGGTTCTCAAAATAGGAGAGGAGGCTATGTTTTTGACTCCTCCCTCTCATTTCCCTATTATTAAATTGACTTTTCTCTGGTAATGAAAAAAGGCATGTATTATGTTTTTAATTTAATCATATAAAATATAGGAATATGTAAAAAAATTAATTCAAATATGTATCTGGATATTCTCTTCAGCTGTACATTCTTAACTGATATGTACATGTCACTTCCTTCTTAATGGTACACTTGGTTTGTGGGAATTTATTAAAATCATGCTACACAATAAGAGAGTCTTTAACTGCTTAGTTATTAGTATTTGAAAGAGAGATAAATGCTGGGAGGCACTGTACCTCCCTTAGTGAAAATGTGTTTTACCGATTCCTTTGGGCAGTGCGGTGCTGACTCTCACAGCCTTAACTCCCTCTCCTCCTTCACATGCATTTTCTTGGGTCAGCAGAGGAAAGATTAAATAGAGAACAAACCTGTTTATGAAAAAAAATGTTTACAGCCATCAGCATTAAGTGGTATAACTTCATATTCTCATACAAGCCCAAGTTATACCAATCTGTCTATCACAATTTACCCTAATGAGAAATAACAAGTATGTGAGTTACTCTTACCTGATTAAAAATCAAGAAACTTAAGGGAACTACTTGGAAATGAAAAGCCCATTTCTGGTGTAGATCTGCATGGACCTTGTTAGGTGACTTATTATGCAATTTATAAATTACTGAGTTCACTCCATCAGGACTTTAACGATCAGGATGATATTCCTCAGTCAGTCAATTGTTAGGATTTGTGTTGAGTACACTTTTCATATGTGCTTATCTGGCAGAAAGGTGTTTAAAGTTAAAACTCTCGATTCAATAGCCAAACTGCTAATTTCCATCAGAAAAACCTTCACTAGAAATTGTAATCAAAGTCAGAAGCAGCCTTATTCTTGAGTTCACTAGGGCAAATGGATACCAGTATCTCCCAGTAATAAATACATCTGATTAAATAACATGTGGTCCGTTCTGCAGTACAATCGCAAAGTAAGTCACAGCTGCTTTTCCCTTGGCAGCAGTCGTGCCAACCAGATGAAGTCCATGATGTTACAAAGGAGTCTGTGTTCTTTTCCTTAATTACATCTTTATTGCACAGGTCTGTGTGTGTTCCAGCAGAGCCCGTTTGTACACTGAAGGTCTGTCTTCTGTCACTGACAGTTCATTTGTATTAGTTTGTCTCTTAATCACTTGCTTGTTTTATCTTTTTGTCACTTTTTGCTCTTATTGCTGCTGTATTTCCAGTGAATAGAAAATACACAGAAATCTCTAGTAGGTGACAAACAGAAAATTTTTAAATCTCTTCATCCTTAGGCTATCTGCCAAAAAGAGTAGGTATTATGTACATCTATTAATGCCCTGGCATCCACATGAAGCATGGCCATTTGTTGGCCTAGCTGTCAACAAACATCCAATGATACAGCTAGAGAGGTTGGATGGGGGTGGACAGGAAAAATATGGAGTTTTTTATAATAGGAATATGATGGAAATCTCATACTGGATGCTGAAGAAAACCTGTTAGTTGCTGTGGAATATTTTTGTTTGTTTTATTTTTTGTTTCAGTAGATCTAAAGAAGGAATCATAATTTTTAGTTTCTCTCAGGAAAGTATTCTCTCTTACTTCAGCACCAAGTGATGACATGGATTAAAGCTTCCTCATAGCCTCATAGGGGAGAGAAGCAGCTTTTGCTACTAGCTTTTTTTTTTTTGTCCTTGTGCATCATAAGTTATTCTATAACCTGTTAGTTATCATCAGTACTCTTTTTGAAATCTCTGTGGCTACAGCATGCTCTGATAGCATGGTGGCTGTAGGCAATAGTAGTTCAGGGGACTGAAAGATTATTTTGCTATTCTGAAACAAGACATTTATGTAAGCTTAAATCAAAGTCCTTTCTCACACTTAAGACTCATTTTGACAGTTGTGATTTACCATTCACAGAATATGGTAGATAGAGAAAGCTAAATAGGAAATATATATGGAACCAGAATTTTATCACATAAATTAATCTCCTGTTTCAACAGGATTAAAACTATGACAGGTTCTAAGAACCTTGAATTTTTAAATAAATTTTCATACTGTTCTAGTTTTTGTTATTGGCTACTATGTATTAAGTTTTTCTTTCAGCCAGTGGTTTCCATAAATCTGAAAATAACATCAGTCCCCAGCGGGTTTTAAATGTGAATATTTCCATTATATCTGCCTTTGCTGGAGCTGGACTGTTGTTATGGCACGAGAACTCTCATATGGATGAGACCAGTGGGCTGACTGAGGGAAATGGATTGTTTTCCTGGTGATTCTGTAGAGCAGAACTGTGTAAGAGAAGGTTGTCACAGAGAAACAGTGATGGAAATTCTTAAAATGCTGTCACACAATGTTCGTTTAGCTGTGGATTCATATAACACAGTGTGCCATTTGAGACTCTGTCAGGTTACCCTCAGGAAGTCGAGTTAATTAATGTGATGATATGGCCAACAGAACATCTTGAATTCCAAACAAATGTTTCCTGTCCAATATTCTGTTTTCAGTATTTCCTATTTTTCTTATTCTTTGTTTCCAATTCCTGTTGTACATATGCAGTTGTTTCTTAGGTCTCCTGGAGCAATTCCCTGCTGACTGAAACACTGTGTTGTGCAGCGTCTAAAATGTAGAGGTGCTTACTACAACACTTTCATTTATTTCAAAGAATTTTAACTTTTTGGAGGGGAGATACCTCCTTATTTGGTTCTATTTCAAATAATTTTAGGAAATAAATTAATTTTCTATCTGATGCTGAAGCCAAAGCATTGACTGTATTATATTACAGGGCTCTTGGCTGTTAGGAATGCTTGATGGGCTTATAACTAAGCTTTGAAAACTAATGCTATTAGATGATATGGTGTTTATAATGCTATTTAACTGATAGTTGCTTTCTGTTAAGGAAAATGAATTGACATTCAGTTTATAGTAATTTTATAATTATGGTTGCTCAGGCATGCTTGCAAGATACATACCTAGCTTAGTTATTCAACTCCCTATATGTTCAGAGAGGCTAAGCATCTCCCAATCATTCATGTGTTTATCCTCATGGACTTCCAGTCGGGGTCCGGGACATTCATATGCGTTTCTCTCATAAAAAATCCCAGGCTGAAAGTAAAACACAGCCCTGTTCTAGCTACTAAAAAGGAACCTCCCTCTGTCCCAGCTAAAAACCAGGACAACCAATTAAGGGAAACAAAATTTCAGGACTATATTCAAGCCATTTAGTATGAACGTTGTGACTACTTCTCTATAGAAAGGAGAAGCTGGGTAGCTTCTGGTAGCTGTAAAAAGCACAAATATTGAGTTGCTCAGTCTCTTGAAATTGAATGTGTAGTTGTGACACTGAGCTTAGACATGCATACCACAAAAAAATTCCTTCTGGCAGTGGAACTGAATCTCAGTCTCTAGCTCTTCAATGCTTCCTCACTCTGTCGCGTTTTTTCTTGCAGTGTTACCCAGTAATACTGCGGTAGTTCCTGTTTCTGAAGGAAGTCTGGTAGCAATCTCAATTGCATAGGACAGAACGTGAATCTAAGCTGTAGTGCATAGGGTGAAGAGTCACTATGCTAGATTCTTCTCCTGGATCTCCATTTGAATTCTTGAAAGTTTCAGATTCCTTAGTCACTATATGGTAAGGAAAGGCAATGTTGTTTGTTAAAGAACTTCCTATTCCTATCCCTGTCATCACTATGGGATGTATAGCATTGGTGAGAAAAAGCTTATGAAAAGAGGGGAAGGTTTTCATCGAAGTGATTTAGCTTAGAGATGGGTGCATTTTTGTGAGCAGTTCTATATGCTTGCCTTAAGAAGATGGCAGATTGTTAACCGCTATAGGCAAGATGTATAGCGAGGATACTAGGATGCCTCAGAGCACAAGTGGCCTGAGGATGATGCTTGGTGTGAATGTCTTCCAGCTACTGGTGTCCACTGTCAGGGAAAGCACAGAACAGCATAAACATCCAGGTTTGTTTACAGTACACTGATACAAATTCAGTGGGTTCACAGAAGTAACTTTGCCTGATTTATGAAAACAACTAAACTCTGTTTGTTAAAACTCAACCAGATGAGGTTCAGGAACTACTTGCAGAAATGCATGGTGCTGGTATTTATGATTGAAATCTTTGGTTCTGATGAATTTGACAGGACAAGTTCTGTCCCAGCCGAAACCAGGACACAAGTCAAGGGAAAAAAAACCAACAAAAATCATCATTTGTCACTTGCAGGGGTATTAAGTGTGTGTGTTTCATTAGTTTAATATTTGCTAAAATAATAAAAACGAATTGTCATAAAATTATTTTTGTGCATGGCAAATGAATGAGGAAATAAATAACTTCTTTGTATACTGGCTTGATGTTGATTTGTAAGTTTTCAGGAGACACATACATTCCATTTTCTATGGAAATATTATTTTTAAATGGAGTATAGTTAACAGACAATCATAGGCATCTGGCTGTGAAAAAGTCATGTATAGAATTTTAGGAGTACTCTCTATGAATAAAAATGTCATCAAGAGTAGCAGTACTACAGTAGAATTTCTGTCTATGTTTGTGATTATTTCCTTTTGTATGGCAATGATTGCTTGTTTTTTAAACAACTTGCTGGAATATATATTCATTTATTTTCAACACAAGTTAACATGGAACTAATAATAGTTTTGCGATAGAATTTGGTGACTTCTTTTTCAGTAGCTGTAAATTGGGCATTTATACTGCCTATTAATTAAGAGTAGCAAGGTGTCCATTATGATAACTGACTATTAGTAAGTACCTGACAAGTATAAAATGTTTTAGTCATGGAATGGAAGTTGTATACGTGGTCATGAGGTAAATACTAGTATTTTTTTATTTGATTTTCTAAATTTATTTTTTATTTTTTTCTTGAAGTGCAATGAGAGGCAGAATTCACCAGTGACTTCCCCAGGATCTTCCCCTCTTGCACAAAGAAGAAAACCACTTCCAGACCCCCTGCAAATCCCACATCTTAGTCTTCCACCTGTACCTCCTCGTCTGGATCTTATTCAGAAGGGAGTAGCACGGTCACCATGTGCCAGCCCAACTGGATCACCAAAGGTATAAGTCTTATTGAAACATTATTTCTTTATATACAAATATAGAGAAGTTGTGTTTGGTTGTTTTCAAGGTGAGCTTGGTTTTTTCTTTTGGAAGATAGACTATTATAAAATTTTCCGTGTCTATTTTCTTTTTTCAGGAGTTTGCTCTGTCCAAAAGAACTTTAATTCCTTCTATCTTAGAAAAACCTTAGATTAGATCCACATTGATTGCATCTCTTATCTCCCGCAGTTGACTTTGGCGAGTGCTTGTCCTTTTGCATAACACCTTACACAGCCAGATGTTTACAGCTACATGTGTTGGTCAAATGTGACCTCTGCTTGTCTGATGATTATATTGCACTTGGCTGTGGTCAGAATTTGAAAGACATTGCTGTAATGGATCAATTCTGTAATAAACCCCAATTCATTAAAATAAATAGAAATTAAGGTTTCCTGAAAGAAGATTTTTAAAGTCATTATCTCATTTAAATTACATGTTGCGCTCTCATGATAATTTAAGAAAAATATGTGCAGATACCCTGCTTTCAAAATCTTAACTGGCTTATATTAGGACTCAAGTTTCAAGGGAAATAATAATGACTTTATAACTAATAAATTGTATGTTGTGTTCTGTGAAGCTAATGATACTAAAGAGTTAATGATTTTTTGGGGTGGATAAGCATGAATAAGAACAAATACTATGTTTGTGGTGCTCTATTGTGAATTAATCATTTTGTTTTGATTGGTGTATAGAGAAGGGAATTAGATTTAAATTTTGATTTTTAGATGATGAATTTAAATTCAAGTTCAAAACATAGCCTGCCTGCTCATAATAATCCAGTGTGAAGTACTCTTATATTTATTTTGTCAGGTTTTTACTTCAAGCTTGAAAATCAACCTCTCTAAGATTCTAGTGATTTATAATTTAGAGGAAAAAATAGAAGTTTGACGGGTTTATTTAAGTTTCCTTAATCACTTTTTATATTATACAAGGGGATTTATAACACATTGAGGATATATGCTAAACATTTGGCACAGCCATTAAAAATTAATTTTACAATAGCATATTTTTACAAAGTTCATGTCTTATAAAAAAAAAAACAAAAAATCAGAAATACAATTAATATTGCTTTAAATTTTTTGGTGAAATTATTTAGAAAATGCTGGGGTTTTTTCCTTGAAACTTTTCCTGAAAAAAAAAAAATAAAATATTTTCTAGGGGTGAAAGGGAAATAAGGGAAAAAAAACCCCTCAAACCACCAACAATTTAGTCCTGCCAAAACTACTACTTTGGTCAAAAAACTTTCTCTTTTTCTGCAATGGAAAGCTGTAACTATAATTATAACTATAAAATATAACAAAATTTTGGACCTAGCCATTATGTTCCTGCCTTGACAGTGAGAATAACTATTTTTCATAAGTAGCAGCAGAATTAAACACTTCTTTATTTAGTATATTGTCCTATTTAGATGAATAGATCTGCAGGGAGAATTACTTTATTTTCAGTCTAAGTAATATGCTGAGATGCTGCTTGAAGAATAATGGTGGGTTAATCTGTGAAATCAGAGCAAATACTGTTCTTTAAAACTTGTAGCCTCCATCTCTTCAAGTGTTAATAATATGCAGGCTTACCAGAATCCATGGAAATTACACCTTCCAAGGGAAATCATCTTCCCTCTATTTCTTACAGTACCTTGTGGTAAGAGAAAAAGATTTCCTAAAGACCTGACCTGCATATTATTTTGTAAAATGCTGTTAGTAATTCACTCCTAATGAAAATGTTTTGGTTTTATCAGATTTGTGCACTTAGAAGCTATACAGCTACCTGTAAAAGTTTGGGGTTTTGGAGGTTTTTAGGGTTTTTTTATTTCTTTGGTTGGTTGGTTGTTCTTTTTTTCCTAGTAGCTTGGTTTTCAGCTTTTTCCAAACATTCCTCAGAATTCATTTCAGCAGCTAAATAAGTGATTCAAAAGATCAAAGCTGAGGATTCTGGAAAAAAGTTATGGGTCAGATAAATCTGCCTTAGTCAGTTTTCTTTTCTCCTTTCCACTTCCTTCCTTGGGTTGCTCATACAACAGCAGAAACAGGGGCATGGTTTCTGAAGAGAGGCCAGGTTGTCTGTAGAATGCAAAGACAAGACTAACATTTTACCTGCTGGCAAGTACACTTGTGATGCCTTGAAAATATCTCAATTAGAAATGGGAGTGCCGTACTTAATCATGAGAGAATTATGCACGTCTATACGTAATTTATTTATTTTTTATTTTATTTTACTTACTGTGTTGTTCAGTCTTCTCCTTGCATGGTGAGGAAACAAGACAAACCTTTGCCAGCACCACCACCTCCCTTGCGTGATCCTCCACCACCCCCACCAGAGAGACCCCCTCCAATTCCACCAGACAACAGGATAAGCAGACACCTGCACCATCCGGACAGCGTGCCTTCCAGAGACCAGCCGATGCCCCTTGAAGGCTGGTGTCCCAGAGATGTGTTTGGGACAAGTCAGTTAGTAGGATGTCGAATAGGGAGTGATTCTTCTCCCAAACCTGGACTGACTGCAATTTCAAACATAAATGGAAGGCACAACCGCATAAGTTCTGATCCAGGATTTATGAGGAAACATCGACGTCATGAGCTGCCTGCAGAAGGTGCCAAGGTATGAAGTGAGCTGAATGTGTTGAATCCTAATTTGATACCCTCCTGCAGCATTGTCTTGCATTGGCTAAAGTGCTGTTTATATTGGTCAGTGCTGATCTGCTGTTTCCACATCTTTCCCATTGATACTTAATAATAAGCTGGTCATAAATAAATTGTTTGTTAAATACTGTAATTTGTAAAGCAACAGTGCATGAAGTTCTAAGTCACAGTTTTAACATGAAACCTTCAAAAAATGGCTTGGAGAGAAAATTCTGGATTTGCTGCATTCTTCTAGCAAATTATCCATACAGTTCATGCAGGATAATAATGTAGCACTATATGCTGTAATATAGTTACATAGCATCTCAGGTCCTCTTTGGAAGTGTCTTATGCCAAAATTGTGCATGCATTTGCTGATGGAAGAGCAGCTGTTGCAGTTACCCCTGTCATAGGTGAGAAGTTGGTAACCTCTTTAATCTGTAATGTATGCAATATGTAGAAATGATGTATACAAATATACTTAAATTGTCAGATATATTGTGTCCATTAACGTGAAAAACTAAATCTTCTAAAAGTCAGTTGTGTTGTTCATGAGTAAAACATGATTTTCAAAACAGCATTAAATTAGTTGTGATGTTCAGTATACTCTAATGGAAAAGATCTAGCCTGAGTGACCCTAAGAAAGAGGAAGCAAATGCATCCGAAGCCAGGCTAAGTGTAGAATCATTAATTGTGTCTTTACCACTGGCTAGATGGGCAGCATCCTTGAAAATGGTCAGTGGCACAACCCCGATGTTGCATTGTTCGATTTGGTATTATCATCAGTGATCCAAACCTTATTCAGTGTAATTAGCATTGCAACTCCCTTTTTCTTTGCCAGTTGTTTCCAGCAGTACACATATCTCTAGCTGAATTTTTCATCCTTTGTACTTAAATCAGAACTCTAGCTGCTGGAGTTGTATGTTGTTGTAATTTATCCCTAGCAGCTTTTGACTTCTCTTGGACATACGTCCAGTGTAATGTCCAATAATCCATTTTCAGTGTTAAGGGTGTTCAGAGTTGTCACTTGCAACTTTTCCACTCATTGTCCAGCTTGATTTGGCTAGGGGATATCTGACTGTCACCAACAGGAGAAGTATGTTTTCCTGTCCTTGGTTGCAGTGAATAGTGTATGTCTTTACGATGTTTCTTCTGTCAAAAAAAATGAAGGATTGTTTCTATATGTTAATTGAAGATATCTGGGAGGGAGAGTGTAGAGGGGGTAGTTCTGGCATTAGGCAGCTTTGGACAATTTGCAAGAATATGGACAGTTTGGGAGGCTTAGGCTTAAAAAGAGATCAAGTGGTGATGACCTAAGAAAAATTTCCTAGTTCTGCTCTAATCAGTTTTATCAAAGCAGCTCAGTAATTTATTTATAGAGCAGGTTATTAACTCAGAGCTGCTCTTTTCTTTTTTTCCCCTTGAAGACTACATAGCTTGTGCTAAGAAGGGTGGATTTGTGGTTAAGTCACAGTAGTTAGAAGTCATCCATTTTTCTCGCTATTTGCTTTTCCCAAGGTCACAAGCTATTTAACCTTTCTATCTTAATTTTAAATTTTTTTAATGGATTTTTTGGTTATTTTGAAAGTAGTCAGTTAGTACTGGTAAAGAACATTGACATAGATGATGAAAGGTGCTTAAGAAGTCTGTGATGTTATATATAATTAGAATGTCCTTTTATCAGCATTGAGGCAAACCATCAAAATCTTGCTTACAGCTAGGGTGTTGTTTAAAATGCTACAGCTTCTCATCTGATTTTAAAAGGATACTGAGTTTATATCTCCAGTTGTGTTCTGGTGCAGTATTGAAGCTGATGGAATGAATACTGCTCAAATCAGAATAACCACTCAGTGCAGAAGTGCCACTGTAGTCTGGAGGAGTTATATATGTATTTCTTTAACCAAATACTATTTGAACTGTCATCCTCTGGTTATAGAGCTAAGCCATTTGGTTAAATGGAGCAACTGACAACTCTGAATTATTGTTGCAGGCTGTATGCACATTCACAAGGGAAACATATAATGAATTTTCATCCCTAATTCATATATCAATTGTAATCTTTTTGCTCTTGGTAAAAGCCAAGAATCAGGAAGCCAATCCTGTGGGTAGGGGTTGGATTCTGGCAGGCACTGTATCACAGAGTTTTAAAAAAACAGTATGTTTAACATGCTATACCTGTTGTTTTCCCCCTGTACTTATCTCTCTCACTTTTATCAGTTTGCAATCTCAAAATCTGAATTTTCCCCCAAGCAGTTCAGCTGTAATTGAGTAGTCCATCTAGTAACTGTGATGTGGAACTTTTGTTGAAGTTTTAAGCTAGTGTATCCTACAGTTCCCAAATGGGGTGAGCTGAAACAGGTGTAAGTGAGTCACTTCAGATAACAGCTCTGTAGTGTGAGCTAGGAAAGCCTTTACCTCACCCATAATCTTCTTAAGGTGTATTTTGTAATACCTAGATGATGAACATCCATGATGATAAATGGGAGCAGAGACCCATTGTTAACACCTGTGCGATTTTTAGGTCTTTTCAAATGGTCACCTGATAAATGAAGAATATGATGTCCCTCCACGACTTTCACCCCCTCTTCCAGCTGCCTCCATCATCCCTAGTATAAAGTAAGTTAACTTTATTTGTAAAAGAAATTGTTAATTACGGTTTCATAATAGCACTGATTCTCTGGTGCTAAAAGAAAAACAGGAAAGAGAAAGAAATAAAATGAACTAATATAGCTCGGTGAGACATTTTCCAAGAACTGTAATGTGGTTTTAAAAAGGAAACGTAAATTGTATTGATTAAGTAGGAGCAGTTCTGATGTTAATTGAACATGCTCCATTTTATAGGAAGAGAGAAGAAATTGTGGCAGATCTTGCTCACAGGCATTTGGCGGTGGGAATACACTGTCTGGTTTTGCTTCTACTAGTACAGAAGAAGTGTGGTCAGAGCCATTTATCACAGGGGATGAGAGATTCTAGGGAACGTACTAAGCATAAAGAGCATGATTTGTGTACGTTCTGCCGCTAATCTAGTCATGCTTTCTGGGCTTTCTACACAAGAAGCTTTATCCAGGTTTCACACCAGTGTCTTTTCTTAGTTGTGGCTAAAAACCAACCAACCAAAACCATTTTTTATCTGTTTTAAATGGAGTCAACCTCCTTGAGTTCCAGAATATGGTTTGGGAAATTTTGTCATTTCAAGTTGCAGACTGCTCTTAGTCTTCCAGTAACATACATCTCTGTTTAATTGGTACCAAGACGTTACTGTGCATAGCAAGTATCTTTGGAGTCTGAATCACACAGGGTTTTCTACAGAAAGAGAGATATTTAAAATAGAAAGCTTGGAAGTGCTATGAAGTAGTTTGTCAATTTTTTGTGATTTTTGTAAGGAAATCAGAGCGTATCACAATGTTTGATGTTATCCTACAGTTTCTTGCCAATGTACTCCTTGTTAAACTTGTTAAATAAAATAATCAGTCAGTCAGTACATATTAATACTGAGAAGTTTCTCACTAGTGTGTAAGTTTGCTGTATCATCAGCACTTGTTCCACTGCTGTTCAGTTAGTGGTAACATAAAAGACAATTCAGCATTTCATTAATATTCTGTTTTTTCTCTTCCTAAACACTAGAATAAAGGTGCAGTGGAGCATTGGCTTTTTCATTCAGAAGCACGTGTTCAGGTGGAATAATTACTGAGTTGAAGCTCTCCATGTTTGCTTTCAGTTCAGAAACAAATTTTAGAACATTATCCAGACATTCTTGTAACTGAATGTTATGATGTAGCCTGATTGAGGTAGGGTATCACAGGAGTACTGGTTGGATACCTCATGTAATCAGTTGATCTCCTTGGACTGACTATTCCTTCCATAGTACAGTGCAACCCTTGGAATGTTCTACACCCTGTCACTCAGATAGAGAAAGTGATAACTCTGATAGACAAACTAAATACCATCATATTCCAAAGCAAATGGAATTCTGAAGAGAGGAAGATTCTTATTTTTATTTTTCATAGTGTAGAACTAAAAAAAAACATTCTGCTTCATGAAAATCCCATTTTTTTGCTTATACTTTTTGCAAACATAGCCTAGAATCAAAGTAGAATGTATACATACACCATACAGTGTTGATTGGAAATTCCACAAGATACTGTAGCAATGTGGACAGGCACAAGATCCACATCAAGCCAATCCAAAACTAGATGGTGTGAATTTAACCTGGTCAAAAGGAGTATCTTCATAAACTGAATAGAAAATTGAGGTATTCCAGCCGAAAGAAAATCTTCATTTGCTAAAACCAAACTCCATAAACTTTTCAAAAAGAAATTAACTTTCCTTTCTGGTTTGGTTTTGTACTTAAACCTTTTAAAAAAATATACAGCACTTCTTAGATTTTTATTTTTAAAATGTAAAAATATCAATATATAACCAAGGGGTAAGAAGTTCAAGTTATCTAATTAAAAACTACTAAAATGTCACATGGATTGGCTGTTAAAGTTAAAAATTGTTCATTGTATGTTGTTTCTTGAAACACTAATACATCTCCTTCAAACTGATTTCAAGTTAAGTTTTTGTTACCGCTAGAAAATACTCTGATAATCTATAATAGTGTGTGGCAATATGTAGGTGGAAAAGCAGAGAGGGGGGAATCTTCAAAAATCTTAAAAAATAGCAAGTTTAATAAGTTTAATATTTCTACCAACCATAACAATTGCTTTCAAAAAGATAAGCTAAATAATATTTAGCACGATTTAATTTGAAATGCCAGAGAGAATATTTTTACAGCATTTTCTTACTCCTGTTAAATTGACTGCACTAAACCCTCCTAAGTATACTGAACAGTACTTGATCCAAAATTCTCTTGCTTTCCACAGCTGTGCTACTCCAATCAATCTGGTGCAAGTTTCTAATTTTTTTCTTACTTTCTGATCTCTGCAGAGTTGGGACTTTAGAGCTAGTTTGTTTCATACAGCTGCAAGGCATTTTATTTTTTCTAGTTATTATCAGAAATCTGTAATTTCAAAGGTTTAACTGAAGGATACACTGACCATGAATGAAGTGCCTTAGTCTAAATAACGAGGAGGCAAAATGACCATTAGTTGAAACTTCACAGTTCTAAAATATCCCTTCTTAACTTGTTTGATCAATTTTTACTGAATAAGATATTACAAATATGACTTTTTTTCTTTTTTCTGTTACTAAATTACATTAATAGAAAACCTCTAGTGTCTTATTTCTGGAAATGGTGACAATTTATTTTCATTTTACTAAATTGATTATTATTAGATACACTTTAATAAAGAATTTTTTGACTCATGTTAACCAAGCATCTGATTTTTATTTTCCACTCAGCCACTGTGTTACTGGCCCTCTGTGTTAAAACAGTAGTTCTTTTATTGGATGGTTGTAATTATTTCAGATTATTTTTAGCAGCTTTGATCAAATTGCTATTTTATTCTGGGAAAAAAAAAAATAACTTTTATGTCAAAGATACAGAACCGTTCTTCCCCCAAACTCAGAAATTTTTTCAAGTTAAATAGCGTTTGGCATTTTCTTAAGGGTAGGTATCATGTTGCTACATCAATAGGAAACAGCCCCTTAGTCTCAAAGTGTTGTGTGCCACCGTGATGTTTTCTGTGAGAGAGCATTTATTTTTGAGTATTTAGTACAATAAAGGATTCCAAGTACCTTTTGTATTCTATAAATACATTAGGAATATCTAGTTGCTTTGAGGGAGTAGAGAGAAAAGTAGCACTGAAGAGTGTTTTTCCTCTTACTATCCCTTTGATCTTGCTAAGAAGCGTTGAAGATGAAATCTTAGTTCCGTTGAAGACAGCCATGACCTGGAAATCCTGGCTCCCTTGCAATCAGCCTTTGGCATGGTGCTTCTCCAGTGGCATTAGAAGAGCAATGCTGACGTGCAGGTTCTAGACATATGAGAGATGATGCTCTGGAGGATACAACATAGCTCATAGCTTGACAGGCCAGTGAGCTTGGATGCATCAGCTGTTCTGTGGTAATTCCCATTGCATTGCAGGCTTACCCTGGGACAAATAGAAAATTGTGTCCTCCTCTATGAGTGAAGTTGAAGTTCTTTGTTTTCAGCACTCAAGAGCAGTTGACAAGCATTGACTTGATTATGGGGTCCATATAACTTAATGCTTATTTTGCTGAAATTACAACTGGAGTAAATTGGAAGGGCAATATGATTTTTAAAAAATATGAATTCTGAAATATTGATAAAATATAACATAAATATAGGACAATTTTAGGACCCTAATGTAGAGTATATTAGCTATATGTTAGTACTCTAACTCTTCTGCTGCTTTGAAAATCAAAAGCACCTTTCAAATATTAATCACATAATAATGTTTATAACCTGACAAATATTTTCCTTACTTTAAAGGTAGGGAACGAGAGACTTTCCTAGTGTGAAGGGCTTGTCGAAGGCTACACAGTATTCAGAAGCAGGAGAATTGGAATGTCTTTAATAGTAGCTCCAAACCAGTAACAATTTCTCAGCAGTGCAGTAGTGTTAGGAAATTGATTTTGGCATATGTATACACACTTGTATCCTGTGAACAAAAATGTAGCCTTGTTGTAACATAAGTAAGGTTCTTGTGTCTACTGAAGAAATAAGAAAAAAAAGCAGGGGCATGGAATAGGTGGAGAAAACTTTTGTATTTGTATTTCTCGAGTATACCAAATTTATTTAGTTTGTGAATTGTCAGTAAGTAAATCCACCAGCTTTCCTGTCTGAAAACTGTTTTTGTCAGAAGCTGATAAGACTAGCTGTTATAATGCTGTACTTAGTTCAGGTGATTATCAAACTCTTAAGTTTGACTCTGTAGATTTCCTTAAAAAAAAAAAAAAAAAAAAAAAAAAACCCAAACAAACTTAATTCACAGTATTCCAGAAATCAAAAATCTCTCCCATACCCAGCTTCAGATAAGGCCTTCAGAGAAGAAGTGTGGTGTTTTTTTCCTGGTAATAACCTTTGAAGAGGGCTTCAAACAATAGTTCCAACCAGTTGGTTAGAACCAGTTGGTTAGTATTGAACATTCTGAATTGGTCAGTATTGGACATTTCTGATCTAGATATTAATATTTCAAACATTGCTCTCTGCAGAAGCCAGCAATTCAATTTGTGATTATTTTCAAAACACACAGGCTGATATATACACTTATATATGTATAATATCTCCTGAACACGCTGGATTGGCATGTAAGAATGATTGCACGTCCACAGAAATGAGAAAATTTATTTTTTATGGGCCTTTCAGCTGTCTGCCTGAGAACGCTACAGACTTCTCATTGTCCTGGTACATTTTTACCTTCTGTTTTTTAAATGGCCATACAGCAGTGACACAAACCTCTTGTCCATCTGAGAAATCAAAGATGGAAAAAGCAATTTCATACTGCATTGTTGTGTGAAACTTCACTCCCTCTATGGGGAGTAGTTGAAAATTGAAGTATAGAGTTTGCAGTTCACTGCTATAAATCTTTTTTCCCCCCCTCTTTGACTAGTATGTCTTTGCAAAAGAAGGTGGATTCCCATCTTCCATGAGCTTGTTTCTGAAGTCAAAAGTATATTACTGGTTGAAGGAAGGAGTGTCTGAGAATATACAAGTATCTAGGGAGCTCTAGACTTTTTAAATTTATTTATTTAGTGACTGGCTAGTACTCATGGTAGCTAGTGATTTGTTTTTGTTCACAGAACCTGCATGTTCTGAAGTCATGTGACATCATCTACAGTAAATAGTGAAAAGCAGGTTTTTGCTTTGTGAGTCAGTATGCTGCTTGTGTTGAAAAAATGAGGAGATAAGCCTCGCCTGTCATTTCAGCTCTTGCTCTTATGATAAAATCAAACTAATTAAACCACAGGAAGAGAAAGTATGTCCATTCCCTTCTCATATTTCCTTATAGTCCTTATGAACTTCCCTAAATGATGTATGAAGTAGATGTATCTTGTAATGTAGCATGTAGTTCAACTGAGGGGCCATTAGCCATACTTCCAAGCCACAAATCAAAATGGCTGAGGATGCATTGCACATCTTTATTCAAGGTTCTTGAGCTGTTGCCTTTTTTTATGGTAAAGAATAAAGGTACTATTCACTGCTTAATGTAATATCCAGATGATTTTTGAAGTTATACACTTACTGCTCTTTATGTTCAGCTAGTTAAGGAATCAAACTTCTGTTTGTGGTTTTCATGTATGATGAAGCTGATGTTAAATTAAGTCCTTAATGTAAACTTTGGTATTTCAGATGTTTTATAAGTTTCTTATTTATCTTAATGTATTGGAGTAATTGCTGTGAATGGAGGGGCTCTACATGTAAAAGAGTAGATGATGTTGATTGCTAGACCTATAACCTAGCTAGTTATGTTTTATGAAGGCCAAAATATATGTTCTGTTTGTTAACTTCTAACAAAGTTACTTTTCCCATGCTGCTCACTAAAATGAAATTTTTGCCCAGCATTTTGTTTACACTCATATAACAGAAAATCAGATAGTAAGAGTTAATTTTAAAAGAAATCTCATGTGCAGCAGTATTCTCCATGATGGAACTTGTTAACTGTAAATGGAGATTTAACTGTAAAGTCTACCTCTTTCCTTGGCTTCCACTGCTTTCAAGATAGTGATATAAAACACTGTCTGGGAGGACAATTAAAGATGATTATTGTTTGAAGTAAAAATAATTTAAAATACAGGCAAATTCTGGAGTTCAATAACGTTACAGCTGGAACAAGACTACATTGAAAGGGTGAATATCTGCTGCCTCACTGAGCCCTGCTAAATACTATTTGCCCTGAATTAACTTTTGTTTAGTTCTTTTGATAACAACAAACAACTTAAGCCTTGTAAGTGCCTATTTAGTACTCTAATTCTCTGTTTTGTTGTGCTTGCTTAAAGAAGCTGTTTAACTCTTAGATGATCAGCTGCTGTTTTCTCTGTGCATTCTCAGGGATAAAAAAACCCAGTAACCTCCTAAGTTTTAGTTTGACATGGTGGGGTTTTTTTTACCTTATATGTAGCCGACGTGTGTTAAGGATGTTTAGGCTCAAGAAGAGTATTTTCTGTATTATGATGCAGTCAATTACGTATCAGTTAAAGCAAAACTGATCTTTTTCTCATCTCCTTAGATGTCCTGTTCCTTCAGCAAATTCTCTGTCTGATAAATCAAGGGATCACACAGATGATGATGATGAATACAAAGTTCCTTCTTCACATCCTGTAGTACTGAGCTCACAACCACCTCATAGTCATAATATAAAACCTCTTGCTCGGTAAGGTCATTTAGCAGCCTTGAAGACAACTTATTTACCAAAACTCTGCTTTTTCCAAAATTTAACTATATTCAACATTTATAAAGATGGTTATGCTTCTGAAATGTCTTATCTTTTCAAGCTTGGATTACTTATGCCTCTGTTTCATTTGACCACCACCTCAGTCATGAACCTGTGAAGTTCACTTTATTGAATACCTTTTCTGCAGTGGATCCTTTTTTCCCCTAGGTTGATGTTTTCCAAACTGGCCAGCAGATTCAATCCCAACAACTCTTGCAAATTTAATTTTTTGGAGAATTGTGTGACTGAAATTCCTCATCAGCTTTGAAAATCTTAAACTTTCACATTTTATATAATTCGTTTTAAGAAGCAACACAGTACTGAAAAAAATGTGAATTGGTAGCCTCTTTTTGTCCCGTGTTTCCTATGTTTTTATGGCTTTTTGAGCCAGTTTCACGGTGTATTTTCTGTGTGCTTCTCAGGAAGAGAACCTTTTTTAAATTCAGATAGAATATATCTCTCTTGCTTTAAACGTGTTTTAAAATAATATCTCTGAAGTGTCACAGTTCTTAATTATTAATGGATTATGGCAAGGAGATCTGGAGCCAAGGGACGGGGCAACTGAAGGCTGTGTCATTCCTGGTGAACTTCTTGGTCTTTGACTCATTAAAAAACCTCCTGAATGTCTGGAATTCAGAGAGTAAGTCTTGGGAAAAAGAAAGACCAATTCTCTACTGGTCTTGTAGGTCAAAAGTATATTAAAATCAAGTATTGATCTAAAAAGCTCAGACTTTTCTGCTATTAAAAAATGCAGTGACGTATTGACATTTTTTCCTCTTTCAGTCAGAATGTGATGTCAAGGACCCACCATCAATAAAGCTTGACATGTCTCTCATCCCAAAATTAGCCAATTACAATTTTTTAGACCTCTTTAATCAGACATTTAGAACAAGTAGAAAAAAGGTCATAGTCTGTTCACTCCTTGCATGCAGGTTAAAAATTCTGTCTTTATTAGAAATGCTGCATAGATGTGAATATTACACAGCTGTCTGAGTTTTATGGTCTCAAGTACTTAAATTCCTATCTACACTATAAGACTTAAAAAAAACTCTAAAACAAAACAGTGATGAATAAAACTCTCAATGTTGGCCAAGCAAAAAAATGGGAAAGAAAACAAAAATAAAAATTCTAAGATCCTAATCCTTTTTACCTATCCTATTTTTTATCTGAATTTATTGTGCTTCTGCATGGGAGAGTCTTTCTGTTCCATGCAAAGTCATCTAATAGAGATGAGTTGCTTGCATGACTAAAGTTACATAGGGTATAACCTTTCTTAGACAAGAAAAAGTCTTCAACAGAAGAGAGCAGCATGTGGACAGATTACCTTGGTTTAGCAGCTTCTGAGGGCTATGTCTAGGTTACTAAGTAGTGTGGTGCAATAGGAGTGCGTCTGTAGAGATGACCAATTGACTCCAAGAACCCCACATCCGCACTGCATATTTTGGGAAGTTTTGGATTCAGACTAGCCCTAACATGGTCCTGTGGCTGGAGTACCCTTTAGTAATTGCAGCTGGATGAGCTCCTGCAGGACATCTTGTGAGTTAACATCATCCAGACGCAATTGAGTCTGCATGCTTTGAGACCTCTCTGCAGTCTAAAGTGCTATAAGTAAAGATGACTTGTGGAGATTTGTTTCAATTCATGCTCCTGACCTGAACTAAAATGCTAATATCTAGATGCACCCTGAAAGATTCTCAAGAAATTAACCGTCTGGAAAACTAGAAAGTTCTCATTTTCCAGTATTCTTCTTTTGCAGAAAAAGAATTGAGTGCTTTCAATTGGCTGGCACAGGATTTCACGAGGCTATTAGAATTATTAATAGAGGCTGTAGATGGAAAGCTGATTTCAAAGTTTTTTCTAGTTTTTAGTTTATTTTTTAGCTAGCGTACTTGGTCTTGCATTTATAGTGGATATTTTGACACTAATCCAGGACTTTTACGGAGAAAATAACGTCAATATGCCATTCAGGTTGCTCCATGATTAAAACCACCAACTCTTATTATTATATCTTCTTCTGAGAATTTTAACTTGAAACAAACCATTCTCCTAAGCATTTAAAAAAATAAAATCCTATTGAATATTTATGGATTAATATATATGATGTTCCATATACTTAAAAAGTCTCCTTAGATATGAAGCTGAGATAAAGCTTTCAAAAAGAATCTTGCTTCTGATTGATGCTGCAATCTTTGAATGCATTTCTTTTAATCTCATGGGGAGAGGAGTGTCAATAAAAGCTTAACTTTTTAGTATTGTTAGCAAAACTATTAACAACAATTTTTTTTTTAATTTTCATAAATTTTTAGCACCTTTCAGTTCTTTCTGCCACTGTCACCTTTTTTTATCTCTTTCCTAAGTGTTGCTTCTTCACTTCTTGGATAGTATTTAAAAGTTTTCAGCAAACTGAAGAGCCTACAAAATTTCTTCTGGATGTTTTGTAATTTAGGAACTATGTTATTCTTCCATCTTGCCCCAAATTTCTGTTGCCTCTAAGACTTTTTGCTCTTTTACCAGTAGATATGACAATGCTAAAAATATTGCATGAGTAATACCAAAAATGGTTCACAGTCTTATTTTCTGGCAGATCAGTTAATTGTCTGGTTTGTTACAGTTGATTATCTCTTCCCAGGTATGGGGCAAATTCAGCAGTAAGTATAGAGGGGAAAGGATTACTAATTAGGCTACTATTAGAAGAATGATAAATTATTACATTCACTATCTTTTCCTGATAAAGGTTTTTCCACAAGGAAAAGGACAGAAGGGTTGCTTGTTAGCAGTCATTTGCTGCTCTTTTTTCTGGTGTTTACTGTTGATATAATCAGGTATTTCAGCATGATTTGTGAACTGATCACTTAACTGGGCTCATTATGACCTGCAGACTTCTGAAGTGGTGCCATGTTAAGTTATCTTAGTGCCTGTGGCTGGTTAGATTGTTGAAAATGCAGAACAGATTCAAATTAAGCTGGAAAATATTCTGTTAGTGCATATGCTGAGGAATCGAAGGAAGTGTTGCATCCACTGCATTTGAGAGATTGAACCAATCTAATTTCAAAGATAGAAGCAACACTTCCTTTACCATTTCCCTGGGGAAATTAATTCATAACAAAATAGCTCTTACCATTAGTTTTTTTGTTTTGGTTTAGTTTTTAAGTCTTGTAATTATTCTTACATTGATTTCATTACTCCTAGTTATAACTCTTGGGACCACAGACACAATTTCACTTCCTCTTTCCTGTTTATATATTTTAAATGATTCCAGACCTTTATTCATTTCTCCTTTCCATATGGCCAGAGCTGATAGGTCTATTAATATTTATACTATTGGTAAAAACCCAAGATCTTAAATTTTAGCTGTATATAACTCTAGCAGATTTGCCAGTATTTAGTAATAATGGTGCATGGCGGATTGGGATTTTTATTTTTAAGATGGAATTATTTAGCACAGTGGCCTTTTTCCAAAGAAACTCTCTGGTTCTTTCTGAATATGCAGGGTCCACAGTTCCAATGATGGGAGTAATTTCCCAGTTCTTTACGTTCATTTAAGCAATATTTAATATTATGAAAAGGCTTTTGTTCTATGTTTTTCCCTGCAGTATTTGAACACAGTCATCAAAAATAATCTCCAGTATTTTTCTGAGAAGATTATAGGCAACTTTTGGTTTAGATGATGTTTGTATCTGATACTGTTGTGGAATTTTGTGGGTGTAATATGCTTCCATTTTAAAAAATTAGTAAACTGTGGTAGAAGTATCAGTGAGACAGCTTTCTGATACAGAAAGGATTAGGTGCCTGCAAAACTGCTTTGGCTAGTTAATTTAAAAAAAAAAAAAAAAGTATGGCTAAGAGTTTAGTTGAAATTTGTTATTGCTAGTGGTGTGTTGTGGTCTGTTTCGGGGTTTTGTTGTTGTTGTTTTTTTTTATTTTGTTTAATGACTTTTCTGTGTACTTCAGCATGGATAGTTACCAAAATCCACAGTTCCTTTTGCCATATTTCTGGTAGGGAAAATTCAACAACTGGGAAGGCCCGTAAAGTTTAAAATTCGTACAGCTTATCACCTTTCATTCGTTTCCATATAATGGGCTGCCAGCTCAGGTACTTGATCATTCTGAGAATTAATACTTGGATAACTGGTTGATTGTTTCCTGTTTCCTGTCTGTCTTCAGGGTGTGTGAGAATGGGCAATGTGCTGGAGTAACGAATGGGACACACAGTGCTACTTCTGAGATGAAGAAAACAAAACATCCAGAGTTAGGTATGGTTTTATTTTTCACTATTTAGCAAGCAAATTTACTCTGTGCTGTTCTAGGGGTACATCAAGAAAACATTCACTTCTTGTGATTGTGTCATTCAGGAGATGTCTATGATGCACCTACTGTTCCGGTACCTTTGCCACCTGCACGACCTCCTACCAGAGACAACCCAAAACACAGCTCTTTGCTCAACAGGACACCCTCCGATTATGATCTTCTGGTGCCCCCTTTAGGTTGCAGACTTTTTGCTGATTACATTTAATGGTTAACATTGCCTAGATGAAACAAATGCCATGTTTATTGAAAAACAACCAATGTTGACTGTGTTGAGTACCAAACAAGCTATGAGCTAAATACTACAGCTGTAAGTCAATATTTGTGTCAATGATTTGTACTTGGTATCTGTCTGTACACCCTCGTGCAAGACAGATGAAAAGGCATACTAAATCTGTATTCAAGCTATAAAGAAAAGCAAAACCATTTTCCCTGAAATAAATTATAATTTTTGTCCCTTAACATGAAGTTTGAGCCTTGCAATTTAATGCAAGAAAGGAGGGTTTTTCCTATTGTAGCTTAAATAATTCAATTTCTTTTATGAAATACAAAGAATACCACCAAAGAGGTAGTATTTAAATCAAAGAAAACTAATATAAATAAAGTTTATTTATGGTTATTTGTTTTGCTGGTTTTTTTCCCTGCTATCAAGGGACAGTTCAAAACTCACTGCTGTCTACAATCATCAAAAGCTGTCTTTTCCAACCCTAATTTCTGCTCTGTTCTCCTACACAAAAGTCAGTAAGCTCTGCATATATACTAGGGCTGTGCTTGGCCACCACCCACACCTTCATTGACAAACTCAGCTGCATGATTGGTAGACTGTAGTGTAAGTGTCATTGTCCAATTTTCTGGTTCCATAAAACCTTTTGAACATTTGCCATTTTCCTGCACTATGCTCCCTCTGGTCCCTGAAGTGCTCCTGAGTGCCAGAGTACATAGAATTGAAGGTGGAAGAACCCATAAAAAACAGATTGCTTGGTAACCCCAGTCCTGTCTGCACCACCTTTGTGTAAGAGATACATTATTTTACCAAGCCCTAGAAAATTCAGTTTATATCTGGGGTCAGAGCTTTAGATCAGCAGATAAAAGATAATACACAGTATAAATGTAGCAGATTCAATGTAGTCAGCAGAACCTGTTTTGCTTTAGCCACTGAAGCATAGCTGTTATTCTACCATGATATTCAGTGAAAGCTTTCATTATTATACACTTTTTTGCAATTGAGCCACTAAAAGAAACCTCTCCCTCATCCCAGAAAAGAAACTGAGCACTGCAATAGGTCATTCAGAGCATATTTTAGAAGAGGACTGTGCATAGTAAGAGTCAGGTTTACAATTTCATTATTGGAGTCACTGAACTGCTAGATGAACCCAAGGAGTAATGGTCTCAGCAGCCAGAGAAAAATAAATTTTAAGCTTCACTCTTTATTCTGCAGTTCTTAATGAAGTTTTGCTCATCTAATAATTCTTTTCTAAAATGCAGGAGAAGATACGTTTGATAGTTCACCCCCTTCACTGCCACCACCACCACCACCTGCTCGGCACAGCATGATTGAGCACACAAAACCTGCTGGCTCAGGAAGCAGACCTCCTTCAGGACATGAATTTTTCCTTCATTCTGGTAGGAATACAAAGGAAATAATGTATTTTATTTAATTTTTCCTTTACCTCAGAAGCTTATCTGTTCTGTGGTAAAGTGTTCATCAGGCTTCAGTAGTTTATTTTGTCTATAAATCATTATACAAAATATTAAAAATAGGGTTTTTCAATGGTGGAGATGAAACAACTCTAGAATATAAAAAGAATTAACTTTTCATTATCACAAAGTAATGAAATAAGGTCAATATTTCTCTACTAGACTAGACGTTTTGGTAAATATTACTTTTCTGGTAAGAGCTGTTACTTGTGGAGTGCCAAGTTTTTTGTTGCAATCTTTAATACTAGTCTGTATCCTTTTGTCAACTCCACTCTTTTCTATAGTAAAACATACAAGTAAAACATACAACATTTCAAGTTGGAATTTGGGGGGGAAAAATAGAAAATAAGGGAAAAGAACATCCTGCTTTGTTAAAACTGTTGTAGAATTTTGCTGCAAAACGATATTAATTATGAACACAGTTGCAGGCACCCGTGGTTCACAACCTTTTTAAGAAGTTAATTTTTCATCTGTCTCTTCCCATGAATCACTGTGACACTTTTTCAGTTCACTTATTTTGCTTGTTAAAGGTATAAAAGCTATATTCACAATTTACAAATGTTGTCTTTGTGTTGAAAAGTGATTGATTGTCTGGTTAATTAAGTTGAATACATTTGCTGCCTATGGTACAGATTACAACAGGATTGTTGTAGGTAATAGTTCATACCTATGAAGTGACTTTTTTTCTTTATGGAAGCTTCCAAATGATGTTGGTGTCTTAAGTTTACCTGTCCCAGGAATATTTTCAGTGATTTTCTACCTTGTGGTACAGTTAGATGTCTTCCTCCTCCTATCCATTTTTCTTAGAAGCTGTATGGAGAGGGATATATAAAATGTTTTGCCACTAGTGTCACAGGAATGTCAGAATGTAGATGACACAATCTTGTGCAACTCCATAATAGCCTGACAGGTTGTTGGGTGTTTGGCGGACCTTTCTGAATGATACTAGCTGTGGGATGAAAACGAGCTAGTTTAGGTTGAAATGGAATGACCTTTTATGGAATGTTTTTATTATTCAGTCCAGTCTGAAAGGGTTCCTCAACTGTATCATCTGATGCAGAAACACGCACTGGACCATTCAGTTCTAATGGCAACAGAGAGGAAAAACAGAAGCCCTCGCACACAGATGCACACAAGCTCTGTCGATCTGTGTGCAGTTCCCAGAAACATGCAGAGTTTTAAATTATTAAGTGTTATTTCCAAATAATCTAAGGAACATCACTAATAGTTTTAAAAAAGTATTTAATATTTTTTAATTAAAAATCTGTATATGTGGCCATGTGTTCTTCATATTTGCACAGTGAATGCAATCTTACAGCAGCAGTTTTCATTAATCTTTTAAGTGTATAGATCTACTTAGGCATACATGGTTGTGTGCATTGGTCTTTTTTTTTATTCATATGGTATTTCTAAAGCCATATTACTCCCTTTCTTCTTGTCAAATAAACTGCTGTAGATGATTTATGATGAGTTTTTGATGATTGGTTTCCGTACAAGTCTTGGGGGTGATTTCTCAGCTATTCATCAGGGCCTGTCAGATTAGAATAATAATCTCATCATCAACAACAGCAAAAAGTTGTACTCATATAAAAACACTCTTATGAAACCAAAGCAGAAGCCATGATGATGTTCAGGATGATGTTAACACTTGCTCAGCTGCATCTTCAATAATTAAAAAAAAAAAAAGAGGAGAACACAATATGCCTCTCATATATGTTTTTTTTCTCTCATATATTTAATTCTTTTATATATATATTTCTCTCATTTTTAAAATTGTGTTTCTGTATTCAGCAGAGAGAATGGAAAAGCCTAGTCACAGCCTTTACCAGTCCCTGTAATATTTACCCGTAGCTGGTACTGTGTGAATAGGAAATCTGCCCTGCAGTCTTTGTGACAAACTGCAGAGCACAGAAGTGTTCCCAGGCTCTAACCAAACTGAATAACTGGGATAGTTCTAATAGTGCTGCTTCAAGCTTTGCAACCTCTTCCATGCTTTGGCAACCACAGTCCTAGCAGTGCCAGGGTTGGGCATTTGAAAGGTACCTCACAGATATAAAGAGAAGAGCCATGGTCAGTGCAGGATAGACCACCTTTGAGCTGTGCTCTTTTTTTTTGTCACTTCCAGACATATTTACGTGTCTACTATACAAGTGTTGAATTTGGATGTATACATGTGTATGCACGTGCTATTTGGGGACACCTCTGTTTGGATTCATGGCTCCTCTGTCTGAAGGGAGGCTAGTTTAAGTCTAGGTTCTATGCATCAGCCCTCCTCCAAATAATAATTCTAATTATTCTAAAACATCTTTTTTTGTTCTGTTATTGCAGATCCCCATTTTGATCCAGTATCTGGTCATGTTCCTTTGCCACCTGCTCGTAGAGTAACTGGAGAAAACGTCAAAACAAATAGGACATCTCAAGACTATGATCAACTTCCTCCCTCTTCAGGTAAGGTAGAAAACTGTTCTTGTAGAAAATTACAACTTTATGAAGCAGATAAATTTCATCCATAAAGTCCAAAACAGTTTTTTTTCATTCTGGGCAACAAATGGCAATGGTAATATTGCCTTACAAAAAATACAAAATCATCAAAGGATAACAGAGATTAAAGTCCAGCAATAAAGGTAGGAGTGGCTTCCTGTTATCTGTAGGTGTAGATATTATGGCATCAGTTTTACCAGCTGCCAAACTGAATGCTTATGTGAGTTCTAGTGTTTCTTATTTTTTGAGAAAGGCAGAGATTTTTCTGCTACCTCTAAAGCTCATGAGATCTGAAGTTCCGCAGGGACCATGTACATCTCACTTCCATCTTTGTTTCATTGCTCCTGGAAAAAAAAAAAAAAAAAGTAGCTTCAGACTCTAAAGCATTATTATTTCTAATCTTTTTTGCTAACATATTTGTTTGAAGTTCTAAGAATATTTGAAAATGTTTTTTAATAAGACAACAAGAACGAAACCAAATTCAAATTCAGTCTTCAGTCAATGGAACAGATCCAGTGGAAGCAATTCCTCTGCCTTAGAAATTTTGCTTGTGGTTTTCAGGCAACATGAATAGTATTTAAAGGAAAGTTATTCAAATTAATTAAAATAATTCTAAAATATAAAATAAAGTATTACCTGTATTTCAAAGTTCTTTCACCAGTTTGTAGACAAATTTTCTTTTCTTTAGATGTGCATGATATAAGGGGAAAGGGGAAGATTGTCCCACCTGCATCATTTTGCTGTGTGGGGAGACCACCCAAAGAAAGAGCCAAGTGATACTTTGAACCCTTATTTGTGAATTGTGTGTGAAAACTCTTTTCTACTGCATAAAGAAATGAAGGGACTTAATTCTCTAGTCTTGCAGTTGTAATGCTAATCAGTGTTTAATTGCAACAATTGCAAGTGGAAAAATCATACATTTTTAAATTGTAATTACATCTCTGCTTCTTAGGAATACATAGTTCATCTCTGCTGTGGTATAGGAATGAAATAATATATTTTGCCAACTTAAAAGTACGGGGGAAATTAAGTAAGCATGAAGAGTGCTACAGAATTTTTAATGAATAGCACATTTGAGGATTAGTGTGATACCATTGGTAAATAGTAGCACTTTTGGGAGGATATTTCTACTAATATACCAGTGTTTCTCTTTTTTTCCCCGTTGTTAGGAAAAAAAAAAAGTTTTATAATGCATGCTTTATATGTCACACTGTGAGGGATCTATTTGTCTTACAATGTTAACCTGATTTATTTAGGGCATTTTAAATTCTTTTATAATACAAATTGTGACAATGATACAACTGCCTTTTAAAGCTATGGAGTTTTCCTGCAATTCTTGCAATTCTTTGGTAGAACAACTTTTAATTTTCCTAAATTACTTCAAGATGTTTGCTACTTAAGATCTTGGAGCTTTCTGATGTCAGTTAATAATTTTCTATCTGTATGTTTCCCACAGCCATCTTCTAAAACACCTACATGTGTCGACCTTTGCTATAAATATCATTCTAAATCAGCATGATGTACAGCAAGATATTCAATTTAATTTCAATTAAATGAAAACTATGTGATAGATCATGTCATACTGTTAATTGGAAAGTTGTTTTTACAGTGGCAGTAATTCTATAGAACAGAACTGATGAGCTTCAGGATGAACTGATTCACCTTCATCTATGATTTAAAAAGACAATGCAGAGATGTAACTCTATTTAGAACTTTTGTTTTTGCATTTATTCCAAAGTAATCAGTTCACTTAGGAAATTTTTCATTTCAACCCTTTTGCGTGGTGATTCTATGAACTAGAAAAGAAATGTAGTTCACTCTAAAATCTAATTATAATTTAGCCACTGGCTCCCTAGAGTGGCATGGGGAGTCCTTTAACTTCTGTGCTTCGGTTTGACTGCTTTTAAGATTGCTGTCATGATGTTTAACTGAATTGCTAGAATGTAATGAGAAATTTATTCTGATTTAGCAACGTATTTAGTATTGAACACTTAAGAAGTAGTTCTCCACTATGCACGTAACTATCCCAAAGGCATAGTTTTTCAAACTTCTTCAATACAACTTTTTAAAGTTATTACAATCAAACCAAGAGGAGATACAGTTAGCATATTTTACCTAAGGACAGCCAAGGATACATAGGAAAGACAGAAGAAAATTAGACCTCTAATATAATGTCTGCTGTATTTTACTGAATTTAGCTATTCTGTAAGAGATGGATTCAGATGGGTAGTCAAGTATATTTTTCTGTTGCCTGTTCACTTGCCTGGCCTTATTAAAGCTCTTGCATGCAAATTTACAGTCCTTTACTCAGAAATTTTGGGGGAGTGTGTCACATTATTTCAGGGTGGATTTCAGTTAACCCTAAGGGGACTCATCTGCTGCAGTAGTGCAAAATATGAAGATCATACCTAAGAGCTTGATGGGCCAATGTGTGCAGTTTTACTCCTTTGTCACTTTCTCTCTGTCCCTGCTCGGTCAGTTCCTTAGTATAGATGTCCCCTGGGTATGTTTTGTTCCTGTACCCCAGGTAGATTAGATGTAGCTGCTTGCCACTGCTTCACAGAGAAAAGCCTTTGCCACATGGTTCTCTGATGCTTCTCAGTCTGTCGGTGAAAGACCATGGAAACACAGAGGAGAAGCAGCAAGGGAAGAAGAGAAGAGGGCCATTTCACAGCAGAGAGGAACAGACAGTTGACATTGTTACAAATATCCTCTTCCCACTGTGCTACAGAGCTCTGGCAACTTTTTCTGTGCTTTTTAAACACTTATTAAATGAGCCTGTCTCTGCCTTTGTACTAACCCGTTACCTAAGGGTTAAATCTAGTGCTGAATTACAGAAATGTGAGTGATAGAGGAAGCTCCTTGCTTTAGAAACTGTTAATTGAATTACACAATTAGAAAATCTATTTCAATTTTTTGTTAGGCATCCACAGGGGCTGAAATATCAGAGAGGTTGGGAAGTCCTGCTTAAAAACCTCTATCTCAGTGTCCAGATGGACATGCAGCTTAGGCTTAGTATCTTTAAGCTCAGGATCCACTGTGATACCCAGCTTCAACTAAAATTTTCTGTGGATGTGAAGATACTGAAAGAGATGTCAGCGCTTAAAAAAAATAATAATGGGAACTGAGTTGGAGAGAGAGGGCTGAAGATCTTAAAGTATCTGTGCTATAGAGAGATGTCACTGTAGTGAGAACAAAATGCCTATGCTGCAAATCCGCTGACAGATTTAAAAATGACCTTTCTAAATGATGTGATTGCTTAAGAAAGTTTGTTCGGAAGCTCCAGCAAAGTGAAGGCTTTATACAAGAAATAACGTCAGTGTTAAGCCTGTATTAGACTGAGTAGGGCAAAAAATATTTCATGTGATACAAACACATACAGAAGGATCTGATCTATGCATAAGGAATTCCTTCTGTACTTCAAGCCCAGAGGAAAATGTAGTTTGCAAATTAATTTTGTTTCATCCCCTATAGAAATTAAGTCTATAACCAAATGTTCATATTAAAAGTTTGAAATGTTTGTGAAAGAAAACTGATTGGTTTTAACATCATATACCACTTTTTAAAATACATATTTAAGGATATTCTTCTATTATAATCTTGAGTTTTCTAAGTTAAATGAGAAATATGAACTTGTTTCTGATTGGATTTTTAGTTATTAACCACATTTCCTGAACTATAGTTTATTTCTCAAACCAGTGTGTTTCATGGATCATCCACACCTTCACAGCAGGTTTGGATCTGCCTCAGGTGTGTTTACTAAGATGTTTAGCATTTATATAATTCTTTTCATCTTCAGAGAGGAAAATATCATAAAAATATGAAATAGCCCTTACTATCTGTAGGTTGTATCGTAACTATTTGTAAGAAAAATAGGCAATGAAAATAGAACAAAGTGAATCTTTGCCCCTTACTGTAAATTTTTAATCAAATTATTGTTATATGAATGTCACCATCTTGCTAAAAGTACTGTTTGCTTATCTTCTCCGAATTAAGAAATGGAATTAAAATTTATAGCAACATTCTCATCCGAATTAATGGAAGCTAAGTTGAGAGAAAAATGCACCTTGGTTAGAAGCTCACTAATGTGAAGTATTTTCATTCATCTGAAGTCTTTAATACACTTGGTTAAATTACAGTTCTCTCTATCCAGCGTTATGATAATGTGGCATGTTGTAACAGCAATACTAGAAATACAACAGCCTTTCATCACTAAAAAACTGCCTCTCAAGTACTTAACACTGCAAAATGCCATTGCTGTCACTTTAAGTAAACAGGAAGCGTCACAGCCAGAAATTTCTCTAATTTATCTATCAAAGTCACTGTTGATGGAACTTTTTAGAACTCTTTTTGAAGGATTAGAGACTTTTCTTTTTTTTTTTTTTTAATACTTTGCTCTTGAAAGTGTTTTCTGCTCTATGCCTGCTTGTATTTAAGCTTCTTATTGTGGAATCAGTAAGGATGAAGAGGTTTCAGTAAAGTACCAAGTTTACTTGAGCAAGAAACTCTTGACTTTGAGAAGATTAGCCCTTTTTAATATTAGCTTTTTCATCAGCACATCATGATTCTTAACACCAGCATTAACTGTGAAGGTAACCTTTCTGTAGAAGAGAAGGAAATGGGAGATATTTCCAAAGGTAGACTGGAGAGGAAGGATCATGTTCTGTTCTCAACACTGAAAATAATTGGACTAGAGATTTTTTTGACAAACCCAGTTATTTCTGTACCTATGCGTAGCTGCTATGCACGAAATTCAACTGCAATTAACTGAAAAGAATCTGCAAGATGTATGAATAAGTGAAAAATTTTTCTCCCTCAAGCATATTTGGCTGGATTCCTTGTCTTCACAACATAGTCCGGAATGAAATTGTGATCAAATTTGTTTGGCTTTTTTTTTTTTTTTTTTTTAGAAACAGACTAAGAAAAAGTTCTCAAACAGCAAGTTGAGCCTTCAAAATTCTGACTGGCTATTTTCGCCATCTTTGCTGTTTCATCATACTTGCTTTTTCTTCCAACTTTGGATAATTCAGATTGTGACTTGAATGTTCCTATCATATTACTAAATAGTATTTCACTACATTATTTCCATTTTGGATGTTCTTGAGGAATTCAGCTTCTGTCTTTTAAAATGAGATATATCAGTGAATTAAGATTACTCTTCGTGTTTCTTTAGAATTTTACTTTTTAAACTGTTTCATGAGGCTTGAGCTACCTATAACACTATTTTATAATGGTTTCTATCTCCTTTATTTGAAACAGATGGTTCACAAGCACCAGCCAGGCCCCCTAAACCACTTCCTCGGAGGACTGCACCAGAAATACACCACAGGAAAACATACAGCTCTGACAGTTCCACGGAAAATGTGGATGCAAAAATAGCAAAACTTATGGGAGAGGGCTATTCCTTTGAAGAAGTCAAGAGGGCACTTGAAATTGCCCAGAATAATGTTGACGTGGCCCGTAGTATTTTAAGAGAGTTTGTCTGTTTTCCTCCACCGGTCTCCCCACGTCTCAATCTATAGCAGCATCAAGATATTCTTGGAGCATGTGAATTCTACGTACACATGTGTGGATTGGGGAATGAGAGAACGAAGAGAATGGAATATTTTTCTTTCATCCTTAGTAGAAGGGTGTTTGTTTCCAGCCGTTTATCAAAGGCTCATGGCTGCTCTGATCAAGACTTATAAATATGCTGAGGCTTATGTATTTTTGCTAGCCATACTTTTTTAAATCAGGGTTGAACTGACAAAATAATTTAAAGAAGTTTACTTCCCTAGAACTTTTAATCTGTGAAATGCTTTTTCTTGTTTACAAGTTGGCAAGTTACAGTTTTCTAGTTGACGCCTGTACTATGTTCCTCTTCATATTCCTTTGTACTTGTGGTCAGTTCTGCTGTAGCATTCCCAACGGTTTCCATGCTGACCACCCCATCAACTAAATCATCACTTTCCAGAAGTTCTGTGTTTTTGTTTTTGTATTTTTTTTTCTCTTACAAGATGCTTTAATTGGTTTTTTTTTGCATTTCAGCTCATCAAATGCAAAAAGTATGTGGCCTTCACTACTGATTTTTTTTTTTCCTTCTGAGAATCCTTTGCTTTTGAGAGAGGAAATATCTGAATGTAAAATGTATTATTCTGTCTATGAACTGCCTTTTTATAGGTATTTTAACAGTAATGTTGGGCAGCTTTCTGTTTAACATGAATTCCATGACCTGTAGTCCTCAAGGTCTTTTATACAGAATTTCCACAAAAAAAAATCCAGACCAACAAATGAAACACTTCTTGCAGCAGTGATACTGAGTTCTGACATGTAAAAGCTCTTTCAAATTTGAGTATTTGATTGCAAATGCTCAAAAAAGCAAAATGCACACTGTATTTTGATTACACACTAATGGCACCAGTTCTCTGACCTATGTAAACTGAGGCATGCCAGGCTAAAAGGAATCTTTTTGAATCATATTAATGGTATTCAGGTAAATTCCAGTTCTAGCTTCTGTAAAGTCGAATGCAGTTAATTTTTTGAGTGATTATCCTGTGGTTCATTGTGACTTGGATCAGTCTGTATTAACATGGAAACTTTAAATCTTTGATGCACTGTTAATTCGTAATGCTACTGTAGCAATATTTTTTGCGAAGTTCTTTAGTAACCTCCTCCTCTCTAAACTTCATAATTCTCAAGTATATGTTTAATATCCAAATTAATTCGCTGACTTTCCAGCTACTTAGTTGGAAATACATTTTTGCTTTATGTGGTTAGTGATTTTATTTTTGAGCCCAAATTGATGAAAGCCAAATTAAAAATCTTCCCAATTTTAGAAAAGAGAGAGAGAGGACAACTCTGTTCTTAGTACACTCAAGAGTCCAAATATTTTCAGAATAATTCTTAAGATTGCTGCTTTCTTGGTTTTTTTAGGAAACTTTGAAATCTTATTTTCTTTTATTACTATTGAAATGATAAAACCATATGGTCGTTAGAATATTTTTCACATTTTGAGATGTGACCAATATATGAGAATTTTCACAGTGTGCTAAGCTGGGTGTGAGGTATGTATTTATTGTTCCCTTTCAGCTGTCTGTGTTCTCCTTCACTCAGAGCAGCTGGTAAAAGTTACATCGCTTACAGGATCATATCTCAGCAGCATTTATTTTAAAGATTTTTTTTAAAGACAGCAAATGGCTCAATTGCGGGATTCAAAATAACTGGGAACACCCAGCAGAAATTACTGTGATATCTCAAAGTCCATTGTTTCATCAAAGAACTTAGTCTTAAAAGTAATTAAATAAATTATTTTGTAGCATCACAAAGCATAGTATGGATATCATTAATCTGCTTCAGTGATAAAAGATGATCAGGAGAATTCAGGTTATAGGGAAGAGCTTCTGTTCCATTTTGATTTAAGCAAATGATTCTGAGTTTATGCCCTGAAAAAGGGAATTTGGAACTTCCTTTAAATGTTCATTCCTTGAGTACAGCTTATGCAAAGTTTTGGTTGAATTACATTCCCTGCTTTCAGATCAAGTAAATCTCTTTCCTCTGGTTTGGGGGAAAGTTTTGCGTAGTCTTGAACCCTCTTGTTAATTTGGTTTGTTTACAACAGCACTCTAGCATTTAAGCTAACTATAAATTCAGAATGATTCATAGTATTAAATTAAACACTGTGGTTGTACTGGAATTACTTACATGAGGTTCTAGCATAACTGCCAGCGTAGCAACGATGGCAGTGAAAAAAGAATGCTTTGTAAAGATGAGCAAACAATCTGCAGATTGAGACTTGAAATTTTGAATTGTAATAGAGATTTTCTCATTTTTATGCAGCAGCTTAGTATAAATGACAGCCTTACATTTCAATTAGAGGCTGGAACTGCTGCCTGATAGACTAAGGGTTTTAAATTTTTCCTTCTCCTTTCTACTTTTGACCACCAGTGACACTTATTTTATTTTTTTTTAGTGTGTTTTAAAAAAAAGCTTAATGAGCAATATTCTGAGTGGTAACTTGAAAAGGTTTTCATTAATCTTTAAATGAGTGTGCTAATAACACTTCTAAATAGTGGAACACGAAGACTATTTCAAACCTGTTTTGGTTAATAGTTTTGAAGTAAAACAGAGTGAAGTTACTTTGCTAGAGTGTTGATGTTTACTATGCAGGAATTAATAGGCTTAAAATAAATTAATCTGGCTACAGTCTCATTCTCTAAATATATTTTAACATTTTGAAAGACTTAAGGGTTTGAGCCTGGCAGCGTGTTACGCACATACATAACTTTAAGGAAGGCTGGCTTCAGTGAGAGTGCTTGAATGAACAAAGTTGGTTAAACTCAGAAACGTGTGCTATCGTATTTCTTCAATTTAAATGCCATTGCAGGCTTTAGACCATCATTCTGATGTCTGCTGGCCTCACCTTTTATCTCCTTTTGGCTAAATTACTGCATTTTAAGCAAATTGACTGAATCAGAAGTTGAGCAAAGTAAGTGGACATCGTCAGCATGGATCTTTTCCAAAGACTATGAGTGGAAAAAAATTGAAATTGTGATAAAAGAAATGAATTTAATATGAATAGCCATGTTAATGTCTTGGCTGGAACCCTAAAAAGGCCACTGGTAAAATGTGTTAATGTTCAGTATCTCAAGAGTGCATTTGGCACAGTTTTTTTCATAATGTGAATTTAGGAAGTTTTGTACCGGGATCATTTCTTCTGTTATATTTCTCTCATTTTCAGCTTGAAGCTTTACTTTGCACTGATGACTCTGACCTGAAAGCATTTAAATTTGTGTCTTAAAGCTTGACAAATTTTGAAGCAAATGAACACCATATTCTAAGCAAATTCAGGTACTACCTGTTAACCTGGAATTTAGCGCTTTTAGGAATGATTTTGTGAAAAAGGACTTCAGTAGTTTCCATTTTGAAGGATTTTCTTTCAAATAACTATTTTATCTGAAAATGCCTTTTATAAACTTGTCTAACATGTGGCAAACTTAGTGATGTGTTCAATTAATTTATATTTTATTCAACATCCTTTTTAAATTTTGGTTATTATGTAAGCTCAAATTCTTTATCTGTTCTTGTAAGGTATTTTATAAAATTAATGTTAACAGAATGTTGGATTGGTCCGTGATTTTTCAAGACTCTCTCTCTGTTATTTAATATTATTACTTTTCATATGCTGCTTTAGAAATACAGCCTATCCTGTGTAGAGCTACTAGAAACCATTGTTTTGTAAGCCACAAAAATGAGGCCTTACTCTAAAATAAGGTGAATCATTGCATTGAGACATTAGTTTTATATCCCCATACATTACTTCATTTCTACATTTCAGTAGTAAAAATTTTTAAGTTGGCAGTGATTTCAGGGTGTGCATGTAATAGTTACATGGCAGAAAGATGATAATCATTAAATATTTAGAATCCAAAGTGGTGAACATATAGTCCAATTGTACATTAATTTACAGGATTTTTTGCCTGAAGAAAATTACTGTAAGGTCACACTGATATTTCTCTAACATCCTGTGCATTTACATTCTCAAGCATTGTACTCTTAATGTAAAAAATATTTTGACTGTAAAACGTTATTTTTTGTTACTGTATTCCAGCATTCTAAAAAAGGGTTAGAAAAATCTAACCCCTCTATTATGCATGACAATACAACTATTACTATTTAAAGCCCAACACTATTCCCTGCAGGTCAGATTAGACCTTCAATTATGAGATTGTCATGGTACTTTCTTCAGTCTGTGTTAAATCCTTGTCCATTATATAGGTCAGTAGTCATATTACTAAGTAGGGAAGTTAACTGTTTGGCATACTTGTCCATAGTTCTGTAACTGCCTATTTCTTTCATTTTCACTCCTCTGATGTGAAAGTCAGCTGTTACTTTATGGTGTTATGATCAAATTTTAGCAACTGGGTGCTATAGGAATGTTTCAGGAATTTTTTGTTTGATAAACACAGTCATTAATTCTGTACAAGGTACCTGCCTCCATTTATCTGTTGCAATGAGTTTCCATCAGGAAAATGATAAATTTAGATTTTAAACCACTGTGTATTATTTTGACACCTAAACATTCCACCTGCCCTTTAGATTATTTCATGTCTAGCAGGGAAAATTCTTACTCTATATAACTCCTAAATCCTATATGTCTTAATTTAAATCAGAAAATAAATCTTAAATTTGGGAAACCTAATCCCATAACCTTCCTGAACATAATAAGGAATGTGAAGGCCTCAGAATAATATGAACCATGACAAGATTCTTGCTCCCTAGACCTTCTTGTTCCAGAAACAAAAGCACAAACCCATTGAATACTCATCTGACTGTGAAGCTGCTTGTATCTCTCTTGATCTGTGAAGGAACCAACCAGTCTAACTACAATAATACTTGTTTGAAAAAAGTCAGGGTTTTTTTAATTGCAATAACTGCCACAGTAGCCAGCAAGATGGGAGAGGAGCAGAGAACTGCATAAAAGAAGATAATTCTGCCCTAACAATCCAAGCCCCTCTCTCCTGTAGGTGTACAAGATTTAGCTGTTTTGAACGGCCTGGATGTCTAGTGCAAATGAAGGAGTATTTCTTAAGATTACTCCAGTCTTCAGTTACTGTGTCCTTCTCCCAGAAGCTCTTTAAAAGGCGTTTTGTTATGGAACAGGATGCAAGGTCTTGGCAATAGAGGGAAGTGTGGAGTAGCACTCTGCTCAGAATGTTTTTTGATGCTGGTGAAACGACCAAAAGCTTCGTAAAGATTTAGGTGCAAACACCTCTGTTTTAAAGTTCATCGTGTTGGTTTTTGGAAGGTGTGTATATGTACATGGTAGTCTGATAAAGCATGGAGGAGAGAGTAGTATTCCACTGATGTCAGCCTGGGGAGTTCAGAACTAGGCTGTGATACACCTCTCTGCAAAAATACCTGCTCCTTTGGGATAACTGAACTGATTCTGCACAATAGTCAAGCTTCTATAGTCATCCATGTTTTAAAAGCCAAGTTTTTCTCCCTAGATAGCTGGGGAGGTGCATACATTTACTCCAAAATAAGTAGCTTGCTTCTATGTGTCTGTGTAATGATTAGGATGCTGAAAATAATAAACACTCCTTAGTTTTCATTAGACAAAAATGCAGTAAGTACCCTAAGGAGAAATTGTCTTTTATTAATTTGCTAATTGAATATCACTGAATTTCAAATACTGTACAAAGATAAGTAAGTCTACATCATCAGCCATTCAGAAATACCTCAAGGTAGCGGTTGGCATAGTTTTCTGAAGCTTGAACATGTGACTTTCAGGTGTTTCCTCTTGAAGTTTACATCTTCATTACCAATTCAATGTGGTACATGTAAAATTCTTGGACCATTATTTCAAAACTTT